ATGGATGGATACAGGATGGATGGATGGATGGATACAGGATGGATGGATGGGATGGCTGAATAGGCGAATACGACATGGACGAATACAGGGTAAATGGGTGAGTCATGTGCAAAGCACCGGGAGTTTCCACTTTATAAAATCGTCCAAACAAAGACTTTCACACAGAGTAGAAATGACTTCGCCGAGTAGTTAATTTTGTCCACTCACCCTGCCTGTTTGTTGGTCCCCCAAAAATCGCGAAGTGTATCAAAGTGAAAAATTAGGGGAATGCATGTGGTAACATTTATGTTAATGCCGGTGAGGGCTACCCTCCTTCTATTATCCCATCAAAAACAGACAGGGTTGTTGTTTCGACTTATCTGAGTAAATGTTAATGGTACTGACCTTGAAACGCTGAAACTGTCCAAGTCGTGCATTCGCAGTAACTCCTCAAGTGAACAACAAAAAGCCAAGCCACACTTGATTTGAAAATTTTTCTGAAGAATCAGCAGCCTCAGTCAGAGGCGGTATAAAAGGATCTCAACGCTGTTTGGCTGTGCCTCTTTCCTTTGGGGATGACATGGTGGTAGGCCGCACCCAAAACATTTAACGCATAGATAAGACTATTGCTAAGGAGGATTGAGTCCACCTGACTCGTCATGGAAGGAAGGGAACCGCTTTGGGTTGCTGAATATGCAGTGACATGCAGAAAATCGTTTTGTACCAGGGCCAGTAACGAAGGGGAAATTGCATTGGACGGATCAAAGTTGTGCGTAAGGCATACCTGCAACTCGGGTCTTCTCTGAAGTCCCGCCAGTAAGGAAAAACTGAAGCGCTACTGGCACGATCTGAATGTCATAGCTGCCAGGTGGGTATGAAAACTTGCGGAGACGAAAGAGCTCCGGCAGTCCATCCCTCCCCACTACACCTCTCCCTGTTGCAACCAGGAAGAGTGTTGAGCGAACACCTTTGCTTTGCTTTTATATTGATATTCTTGAAAACTACCATCACTGGTGAAAGTCACTGTTTGCTGACCTTCACCTCCCAATTGACCCTCCTCCATGCAGTTGGCCGGAACTCAGCAATGTTCAAACGCTACCCAACTCAAATGCGAATTTACCAGAGATGGTGAAGTCATCTATTTGAGATAAAAATATTCTTTAAGAGGAATTGCATTATTTTGGTTCTTAAACCAAAAGAGGCTGTCAATTTGTCTAATCAACTTTCAACTTTTTAGGACTTTGTCAAGGGCAAAGACGCACACTCGCCTTCACTTCCCTTCCTTCCCTTTCTGCATCCATGGTGGAATTACTCCACTGGGCTAAAGCATCTTGCCTCGTATATATGCCACCCCCTTCCCTCCTTCCTCTTCCCCGCCCCACCCCTCCTCACAGTCTGCCACGCAACGTATTTCACTTGACTCAATTCAAACATCACCCAGTCATTGCACCCTGCTTCCATTCACCGTCGTAAAGCCAACAGGGCTCTTGCACAATCCTCTGCCACCATAGCCACTCTCC